ATATTCTACTACTATTACGTCTTTTTTAAAGACCAGTCATTTTGACTGGTTTTGGTAGTGATAGCTACGTCTCGACTGTCGGTAGTTCTAGTGTTAAGATTTCCAAGATTTCAATGCACCGAAATTTCGAATTAATATTTAAATATTTTAAATCTCCGAATTTGCCAATTCTCCCAGACGTCCGCGCGCCATCAAATATCCACGAATTTCCAAATTCGTTGACGTCCGAGTTTTCAACATTTTTCGATATCCGAAGAAAGGATATAACAAATACCGACGCGCCAGCATATTTCCTGTCGTTAATTAGCTTAACACCAGCACCGAAATAGACCCATGTAACACGCTGTACACGCATTTACGCACACGTGCGTTTCATCATATTGAAGAACTGACGTAACCAATCACTCGTGGTGCGTAGTCCAACTAGCGTATAATTACGAAAACTGGATGAAAATCAAACGTAAACGTACGGCATAAATTTCAAACATATGTTTCCGTATTAGCCCCTCGATATGTGTGCAGTGCACTCTCGTCGGATTTACGATGCACTGGGATATCAACGCAGATACCGTGATCGAAATTAATAAAGAAGGAAAGAATGAACGGTGATAGAAAAAAAAAAAAAAAGAACGGAAGGTCAAAGTTGATCTGCATTACCGTCCATGATTTATATCGGGTAATGTTAAAGTAGAGGCACGACGCCGTCTCACCCTCGAGGGTTTTCCACGTGTGCATCCGAATGCGTCATCAAGCTCGCCAGCAGCGATTATTTCACGACGAGTCGACGAATCGATCGAGCAACGTTTGTTTCCGCGTCTCTCGATCGATTCGAAACAATTCGAAAAAGGGGCGACGATTTCTCGTAACGAGCCGTTGTGTAACGCCTCGCGTACGTTCCAACGATTTTAAAATGTAAGATGATTGTGTCGCTCGGAAGCCACGAATTGATAAGTGTAATTTACTCCGTTCAATTCGCTACTTATATATCATCATCATCATTATCATCGACGCGATGAATAAATCTGCGAACGTGGGTCGTCCGAAATGAAGAAATTAATAAAAATGCCGAGGCCTAAAAATCGAGATCTGGAGTCACCTAAAGACTCGAGGAGACTGTTGCTCGTGTACAAAGATGTCGAAGCTCGCGAAAATTTGATATCGTCTCACGTCCGCGAGATTGCCCGAACTGCGAACGAGATTTTCATTCCCAAACAACGACGTTCGAAAGAAAACAAAATTCAAGGCGACAGTGACACGACAATGCTCCGACTTTACGTCAGCCTTTTTATATACGCCAGTTTTTTTTTTTTTCTTTTTCGAAGCTCCGAAACTTATCGATGGAAAATTACCATCGTGTCGTATATCTTTTAATCAGCCGCGTGATTTTCCTAATGTCTCTCTAATCCCCGCTCCTAACCTAATCATTTTAACTTATCGGTTAACTGCGCCAGCAACATTCAATTGGAAGAAAAATTCATGATCTTCGATTAACACGCGTGGTTAAGACTA